GTGAATCTTCTAGTAGCTGTGCGTGAAAATTGCCAACGTTAATCTTGCAGAGACGGGGAACTTGAGCAAAGAGTTCTTTGGCGTGAGTGAGCAGGAGTAAGTATTCCGTTGCTTTTATGGACTCATTATCTATGGGCTTCTCCCTTGACGGGACGTCCCCCCGATTGCCTGCGAGCTTCTCCTCCTGTCTGTACGGTAATTTCTGTACAGCGCGACAGAGAGTCGAGTGGTTATGACGCAATCGTTAGCCTATTTTTACTAAATCTGTTTCTACGGGGCCATAATGGAGTCTTTAAACGCCTCAGATGTAAAGTTATTTGCTGTCAAAGTGACGCCAAAATGAATGGGAGTCAATGGAAATGCTAACGCAAGTGAAGTTCTGCTACAACATGGCGCCACCCGGCCGGCTTCAACTTCCGGTCGATGGATTACCCCCTTGATCAATACACATGGGACACGATTTTCTCCGCTTTTTGTTCAAAATGCTTTTTTATAAAACTTACCTACATTCAATTGTGAAAACTTACCCACATTCTAAAACACAGTGCTCAACTTAAAAAAAAAAAAAACATGCCTCTATACTTTTTTTGTTTTGTCATTCCTCTATGGAGACAGATTAGTTCCTCTGCCTTGCGCTTTGCATTTTTTAAACGTAAAAACATGTTCTGTATAATCCCCCTAACTTGATTAATTTATTATTAAGACCTATTGTAAATGTAAATGCCGGAAATAGAATGAAATTGTGCAGTTCACTTTTCTGTCCATGCATGCCTTATAGTTAACCCAGGATAACCTTTTATCTAGAACATCTTTAAATATTCAAACCACAAGAATTATTACATACAGTGCAGTATGTCAAAAAAACAATATCTTCAGACAGAACTGCAGTGGCATTTATTTTTGAAAAACCTGTCCCATGTGTCCTCAAAATCCAAGTTTTATGTCTCCTTGCAAATGCCCGGAACAGCAATGGTACTTTCTGAGTGCATTGTAGCTGGTATTCATATCCATTAATTAATTTCAGCTGTCAAAGCAAGCAGAAAATCACTCTAATTCAAAGACTAGCTGAGATGTCATTTGCTTTTCATACTTGCTTTTCATTATTTCATAGTCTAGTATCCATAAATTATTCAATCTAAGCATTTTACATCATAGATTATTTATGCTTTGTAGCACTTTGACAAATTGTATTGTGACAGCGGTGCCAATGGAGAATTCTTGAGAACTGGATATGAAGGGAATGTCATTCAAATTCATTCAGGGTTTGGGGACGATTCAGTGTGATGTGTTCTGTAATAAACATTCCCCAGTCCCAGTGTTTACAACGGTTCCCTCATAGCACATGATAATCAATTGTTTATATCAAGGTTTCAATTCACTTTCTTCACAAACCCCGGCGTAAGAAATTTTCACCCTGAGCGAATATAAATTGAACTCGACAACGGGTGACAGCAGAGTAGAAATAGCACTGTTTATGTTTATCTTTGCTTTAGGTTTTGTTTCTTTTCATTGCAGAGGAGAATGCTGGGTACGTCCCACCCCGTTGAGCGAGCCAGTGTTTAAGTGGGCTCCTGGGACGCCGAGAGATTTGAGCACAAACAGTAAACTCTCTTATGAAATCTGCCTGCAATCTTACACTCATTGGCGTTCTCTTTCTTTATTTTCATGAGAGGCTCTTCCTAAGGTCACCCAGCAGTACAGAACGTCGATCCGCCAATCGAAGATGTGGGTCGTGCACGGCACGTCTCCTCCCAGGCTGTTTAAAGCACTTAAAGGCGGGTTGTGTACAGAAAATAGTGGGAGTATGTATACATTATTTGAGTATTATGGAATTGAATGTGCATTTTTTCTGCCAATACCACTCAAACACATCCACAAATGTAGTGATGCTGTTCTTTGAAATATTACTGACCTATTGGTGATTCTCATCTCATTTTTCTTCTATCAGCGACAAGTCGGATCTGCAATGGCAGGCCGTGGCCACTAGGGAGTAACAAAAAATTGTCTTCAAATATTGATTCTTAAACCCAAAGTGATGTTGGGTCAGACAATGTATCAGGTTCATCTTCAGAGCCCAGCAGCCTCTCGGGAGGACGAAGGCTGACAAGCGACAAGTCTTCATTCGTTGTCGGCATCCAGATTTAGCGTATTTCTCCTTCCCAGGAGAGCCTTTTTTGATGGATCTGTAGATAAACATATGGCAAAGACGCAAACATGCACACCTTTGCAGAAAAATATGACAAAATGTTCACAGTATTCATGTGCACGTCCAGTTGACCATTTGAAACGAGAACAGGATACGCTTTCTCCAATAGTAAAAGACCTAAAAATACACCCAGCCCATCCCAGGAGAGGGCTGGTGGTATCCTGGGCTTCAGTAATGAGAATTCAAGATGGCACTCAACCCCATGTCCCAAAGCTCAACACTGGAATCACAGTGGTTCTGATACATTCATCACAGCTCACAAAGCAGACGGCTGGAGTCTGAAGGGGCTTTGAAGCCTGGAAGACGTCTGGGCAGGCCCAGGGCGAGCCTAGCGTACAGGGCTGTCTTGAAGAGAGAAACCCTCATTCAACACTTCACAAGCCACCAGAGCCCTAAGAAAGCTGTTTTACAGAAATACAAAGATAAAGGCACAATGTGCAGCGTCTTTTTTGCAAGTTCGATCCAACCCAGGAAAAGGTAAAGCTCAGCAAGAGTGAATAAAAGGGCCGATTAGAGTTAAGAATTCCAGTTTAGTTTAAGTTGTGGAGTCTGTGGAGGAACTCATTGAGATTAGAAAATCAATGATGAATAGTGGAGCTGATTCTATTTCAAACTTTATTACATTGCAGTATTGGGCATGAGTTATGCCTCTTCACATCAGAGCTTATCTTTAAACATGTTCATAATCTCAGTCTGCACATTGCTAGCCTGTTTTCAGAACTTCACAAAGTACTTTTGAGAGCTTCACAGTTCAACAAAAAAAAAAAAATAGAAAGTTAAAAACAAGGTAGTTCCTTGTTTAAAAGTGCACTAAGTAACTTACTGGTTATGTTTCACTGGCAGATAAAACAATGGCCTTGGACTTTATACTGATACCTAGTGGCGTGGATGTCTTTGTTTTTTATGCAGATGTATTTGGCACCCTGTTATTATTTTATTCTGAAACCAACAGTGTCTGGTAATGGGGGGTTGCCATTTGGTGTGTTCAACTTGATGCGGCGCTGTGCAGACCGATGTATGACATCAAAGTACCGCAAGAGCGATTAGAGAGTAGATGGCTCTGCTTTATAATCGCTCTCACTGTACTTTGATGTCATACACACGATCAGTTTGTGTATCGCCGCTTCAAGTTGAAGACACCTAATTAGTTGTATTCAAAGAGTCATGTGATCTCGACATGATGGTCCCCATGAGGCTCCGATCTACCATTTATTAAGTCATTGCCATTTTAAACATATTTGTCAGTTGTTGTTGTTTTTTATTTAGATGTTAAATCTAGTATAAAAAAACTTAGCGCACTTTTAAGTGGTTTGTAGATCTTTTTACAGAGTAACAGATGTTTTTAGCCAGCTGTTAGTTTTAAAAGTTTTTGAAGGGAATTGCATCTGTAAAGCTCACATTACGTAACATTTTTACAGCTAGAAAGAGCTGTATTTTTACTGTAGTTTACCATTTTTTACTGATGTCTACTTCACTTGCATTTCTACTTTGGATTTGCGGAAGGAAGCTTTATAAATATTTCTCTCTTGAATTCCATCTTACACCAACAGTAAAAGACTAGAAAACAAAAAATGTCTCCATATAATCTTATATAGTGCAACAACAACAAAAATCGCCCATTCATTTTTAAATTGTTGTTATGATCCTATTCAGAAACCCTAATTAGAAGTGAAAAATTACTTAAAGGGTTAGTTCACCCAAAAATGTAAATTCTTTCATTAATTACTTACTCTCATTCCAAACACGACTTAAAGACTTTCGTTCATCTTCGTAACAAATGAAGATCTTTTTGATGAAATCTGAGAGCTTTCTGTCCCTCCATTGACAGCTACGCAACTACCACTTTGACGCTTCAAAAAGTTCATAAAGAGATCGTAAAACTAATCCATATGAATTGAGTGGTTTAGTCAAAATATTCTGAAGAGACTCGATCACTTTATATGATGAACAGATTGAATTTAGGCTTTTATTCACATATAAACATTCATCAACTCACACATCAGTGGTAAACGGAAGCTCAAGAATGTTTGCTTGATGTGTGAGAACCAATGAGGTTCATTCTCATGTGTTACGCAAGTTCGATTGAGCTTCTGTTTATGTTCGCTGATATGTAAATAAAAGAGTAAATTCAATCTGTTTATCATATAAAGTGATCGTGTCTCTTCAGAAAATTTGGACTAAACCCCACAATTCATATAGATTAGTTTTACGATCTCTTTATGAACTTTTTAAAACGTCAAAGTGTCAGTTGCGTAGCTGTCAATGGAGGGACAAAAAGCTCTCAAATTTCATCGAAAATATCTTAATTTGTGTTCCAAAGATTAGCGAAAGTCTTACAGTTTTGGAATGACGTGAGGATGAGTAATTAATGACAGAATTTTCATTTTTGGGTGAACTAACCCTTCAACATTTTCAGGGTAATGACCTGACCAAGAGAAGCAAATTGACAATAATTTGTGAATCGCACATTCAGAGCAATCCTCTCCCTACTCGTGAATATAAAGTTTGCTGTGTGCTGGAAAGCGGATAAACAGTGTTAAACTACTGTCTCATCGTCATCAACCTGACTAACTTGCACAGAGACACACAAGCTCCCAGCCAGGTCTTAACTGTCCATAGTTTGTCCCTCAAGTCCCACATACTATAATCTCTCTCACACATGCACACACATACACACTAGAGCCGATGGAAATCCAGAAATTCACTTTCAGCTGATGGATACAGTCTCTCACATGAGCACCTGTGTGTCCAGCATCTTCAGTCGAACCTCAGGTTTATATAGAGATCCTTGTCCATCCTTATTATCTTCTGTCAAAACAAGGCAGCCATCTATAGTCTACAATAAGTTTGTCTATCTTTCGCTTGTACGGAATCATCCTTAATGTCAGTGTCTTAAACAAGATGGTCTCCTTTAGGGGTTGTTGAGGCATCTTGGGCCTCTTGGTAAGGCAGCCATGTTCTTGCTATCGTGTGACCTACGAATAAAAAGAGAGGTAGATTAAGGAACGCTATGGCACAATAACTCAACGCATTCTCATCCTTTGGCGTCATATAGGTGACGCCATATGACATTTCGTCGAAATCTTACGCACATGGCATCCTTTAGCGTCAATATAACACGCACTGTTATGGGTAGGTTTAGGTCTGGGGTAGGGTACGGTTATGACGCCTTGGGATCTGCGTCTCATATTCACGCTAAACGATGCCATGTGCGTTGGATTTAGACGCGAGTCACCTGTATGACGCCTTGGGTTCTGCATCTCATATTGATGCTAAAGGATGCCATGTGCGTAAGATTTCAACGAAATGTACAAAGCGTCACATGTATGACGCCAAAGGATGAGAACGGGCTGAATAACTAGAATGGCAAAACTTTGCTTTGAGATGTTTGAAAAGGCCTGTTAGAGACATAACGTATAATATATATATTATGCCATAGCATAATAATTTTGAAGAAGGAAGGGTTGGTGCTAGACAGTGTTTTGACTGTGGAAAAGGCTAGAATTCATGTTTTTGGAACGTGAATAAGTGTAAAATAGTTTTCGAGCTTGATTTCTCTTAAATGTAACTTGACAAAGAAAAAGTAAAGCTTTACAAGACAAGTTATGGATTCATGAGTCAAATTCTTTCTGCTACCCCCTTTTGGAATGGTGAAGAACGGTAAGTGGCTCTGATCACCATTACAAGGCTTATTCACAGCAACAAAAATAATTTTCTTAAATCAATAATATCAGTGCATTAACTAATGTTAACAGATACAAATTTGGATCTTAATGTATTTAGTAAATGTTGAGATTAACATTGATTATAAGTAGGGCTGTCAAATGATTAATCACGATTAATCCCATCCAAAATAAAAGTTTTTTTTACATAATATATGTGGGTGCACTGTGTATAATTATTTTGTATATATATATAAATACACATACATGCATGTATATTTAAGAAAAAAATATTATTTATATATAAAATATTTATATTTATATATAATATAAATTATATATAAATCTATATACATGAAAATATTTCTTAAATATATACAAGCATGTGTGTGTATTTATATATATAAAATAATTATACACAGTGCACCCACATATATTATGTAAAAAAAACTTTTATTTTGGATGTGATTAATCACGATTAATCATTTGACAGCCCTAATTATAAGTACTTTAGAAGTATTGTTTATGTTAACTGATGGAGTTAAAGCTGCAGTCCGTAGTTTTTCCTCTTTGTCGCCATCTCTGTTCGACATCGGCAATTGCAGTTATTCGCGGAATTATCAACTTTACGTGGGTTGTTCCTCGACACTAGCCTGGTCCCACCAGACTCTCGTACATTTCATTTGTGCAGAGTCTGGCCTCGCTCCATTGACAAGCGTTAACTTCCTTGTAGGCGGGTACTCTGTTGAAGTTTAAAACTATTGGATCTGCACAGAGTTACTCTGGATCTGCCATAACCAATCGCTGACGTTTGGTCGTGACGTATGACGAATTAAACCACTCAAACTAGCACACGACATCAACATCATCGTTCTCAGCCACTCCCTCTGTTCGCTGATTGGAGCGGTAAAAAAATGACCGGAGAAAACCAAAGAATACACCACAAACCCAGACGTAGTACTGAAGGAAAATGAAAATTGAGCGGAAGTACGTAGCAGGGCGGAGCCAGGCTAGCTCGGCACGGCACAGCGTGGATGAATCCAATGTTTTGAAGAGAATGTGCGGCTGTCAGTCACCGCGCCGGTGTGGATACTGTCATTCGGAATCACAGATTCTACTTTTTGGAAGTATGACCAACAAGAATTTTCACCGGAAAATGTCATCTGAACAAGTAAGTAATATCTACTTTTGTTCTGACCAACTAAGGGGGAAAAAAGCATTGCAGTAAATCACAGTGATTAAATCTAACGATTGCTTATCTTATCACGCCAAACCATGCAAATTATAATTTGTTCAAATTGTTAATGTTAACAACATCAGCATTGCGTGACTACATTTAATGCCCTTCCGATATTTATCCTTGTTTTCACATGGGCCCGGTTGCAGTCTCTTTTTTTCTGTAGCCACTCCGAAGTCAGAAGTCTTTTGCATTTTACAACGGGTGAATCTCCAGTTGTCACTGATGATTGTTGTTTGAACCTTTCTGGATCCACCATCAAATTGATAAGTTTAATTATATCAAGTGCTGTGAGAAAAGACTATAAATATCCACCTCCAACATCTTCACACGCAATATAGCTTATACTAGCCAAGACACCTTCTTTATGTGTACAGATTTGACGTAATGACGCAAAGACATGCTCGAATTTCCCGCGGAAATCCACCAGTACTACTGGAATTAAAAACATTCTTACAAGCTTACAATTTTGAATCAAGCTAAGGCAAGCCAAAATAAATTTTTGAGCAAGTACATAACCAGCATAACTATCTAGTTTTGAACACTGGCTGGTTATGTATTTTGGATAATTTTTAACCCAAAAAAGTTACGGACTTTAGCTTTAACTGTAACAAATGAAATCTAATTATAATGTGTTACCATAAGTTCCTTTAGTGTTGGAAAGGAAAATGAAGCTGTATAGCAGGCAGCTGTACCACAGAAAGGCAGACAGTGGAGAAGGATAATAAAAACAAAAAGGAGAGATATTAAGCAGAGGGTACAGGAGGTGAATGTAAAGATATAAGAAGGCAGATGGAAAGAGACAAAGAGAAAACACAATATGTATCCTGGCGCATCGCCACAATCTCCAGTGACAAGTGCACTGAAGCCTGCTGGTTACTGTTCCATTTCCACCTCTATTAAATACAGAATTAATGCTCACTGGAGTAAGATACTCCCTCCCGCCTCCCATCTGTGCCTCAACGCAGCCCATTGGCCTCCTGAGGGGGCAGTAGGCAGGGCTTAGCCAATTGACAATCAGCTCAGCCAATAATGGACTCAACAAACAGAGTCATTAATCCTGAGTGAAAGACCCAGAGCCGTCATTCATTTCTCGTCTCTCCCTCTTACCAATTTAATTAGGACTCTTAATTTGAAAGCCTCAGTGGAGCTCATTGCCATAATGCATTTTAATGAACACAACAGATGTTCTGCTGTTACTTTATAACTCTGAGCAATTATTCTTATGGCAGTTGTGTGTTCTCATACACCGTTATTTCTTTAATACTTCACCTGTATGTCACACCTGCACGAAACAGCCGTCACCCCGGCATTTACTGAACAAACCTCATCTCACCAATCTCAAATTCATTTACATTTTTAGCTTGAATATAGACATTTTGAGGCATTGAACCATGGGTTCAGATATGAAGATGACCTGGTGCACAAAATGTAGTCAATTTTAAAGTTTGCTTTCATGTCAAAGCTAGCATGGACCAACAATGTTGTCCATGCATGTTCGTCTATTTGCTCGTTTTTTTTTTTTTTATTCTCCTTTGCCCTTTGAACGTTTCCTCTGTGCTACTGAAGTCTTCAGGGATTTATTCTCTGAGCCACAAATTCTGTGGAGTAACTCTGAAATGTTATTTATCTCCAAGCTTTGCTCATTCTTTAATAAGTCTCTTTTAGAAAGTTTGAGTGATGTGTCTGCATATAACTTTCAGTAAAAAGAAGTCAATATAGTGCCCATAAAACAAGTGAACATTTGAAAAGGTATGTTTTTATTGTTTTACATATCTTAAATGACAATTTTATTTCATAACATACCACTTCTTGTACTCTTCATACTCTCGCTTCAGAGAACCCTCTTACAAAAGTAAGGCCTCAACAAAATGCTGCTTTGAAGAACGGTTTGCCTGAGAAAAAAGCTTTGGGAGAAGGGCTCCTCAAAGAAACGCCTTCTGAGAATACTCCCGGGGAGTGTTTTGATGGCATAGTAGCTCTTAGAAAGGTCTGTTTAAAAGGTACTTTTATGGCAAAAGGTTTTCAGATGCCTCTTTTACCATGGTCAAAAGACACTTTAGGTGCCAACCTGGGTCTGCACGTGTCTGAATGTAACCAGCCTTGAAAAGGATAGTTTACCTAAAAATTCAAATTCTGTCATCATTTGCACACCCTCATGTCGTTCCAAACCAAGACTTGGGTTAATCTTCGAAACACAGATATTTTCAATGAAACCTGAGAGATTTCCGTCCCTCCATTGATAGTCCAGGTAACCAAAACTTACGAGTAGGGCTGTGCGTTTAATTGAAATCGTAATAAAATCACAATGTGAGAATGCGAGATTTCTAAACCGCAGAAAGGACTATTTTTGCCTCAATCTGAATGCAGCGTGCCTAAATCTAGCACGAGAACTGAACAGAGCGTGTTTATCTTTACGACATTTAAGAAGAAATCACAGAATAAGGACAACATCCGTGGTTTAGGAATATTTTGGATACAAGAGAGATGATGTATCACAGAGCAAGGTAATTTGCAAGACCTGTCAAACTATCATTGCGGCAAAACAGAGTAGAGAGCGACTCGGTTACTAACGTAACCTCGGTTCCCTGAGAGGAGGCAACGAGTATTGCGTAAGTAGCTTACGCTATGGGAAAACTCCTTTTCTCGAGAAATATTGAAGTCTTTATGTAAAACGCATTGCAGCTGCACAGCACACAGCAATGAGCGAGGCAGCTCGGTCATTGGCTGTGCTGCGGCAACTGCACGAACCTATGACAGGGCGACTCTGAACCCGCTTCCAATGAGCGTGCTTCGCGCCCGCGCGCGTCAGAGCCCGCCAAGATGGGCGTGGCCAATGGCTATATATTGGGCGCCCCGTCGTCTGAGGTCTTTAGGTTCAATCGACTGAAGCGAACTGACCAAGCACAAGCACGGCAGCTTACGCAATACTCGTTCCCTCCTCTCAGGGAACCGAGGTTATGTTAGTAACCGAGTCGTTCCCTTTCGAGAGGTTCCTCCTATTGCGTAAGTACCTTACGCTATGGGAACACCATGTAAAACGCCGTGCGTGCTGACTTCGCACTATTAAGCCAGA